AAATGCAAAACATTTTGTCCATTCATTCTGCAAAACAACACATTTTCCTGTAAAATTGTTTATTTTGTTTTCGCTTTTCGAACCTTAAATTATTATTTGATCGATTCCTACAAACAGCCAAAAGACCTCTGCTGCAACAACCCTGGTCAGGTTGGTGGGCCTGGGTCGAGTTCAAACCCAACCTTCTCTGGCATGTTGGGTTCACTGGAATGCCATCTGATGCCTGCCGTTGCTAAATGTACTCAAATGCATACATTTGAACTTAGCTAGCTAGCTGGTAGTATTTCTAGACTAATCTGCTCCATCAGTTCAATTGTTTAAATTGGTTAGTGATGTTAAGTAGGAAGACTACACAGTAAAAATGCTGTAAATTTACAGTATTCGTTTTACAGTAAAATGCTAGTTTGATATTTTATTGGTCGTGCTGTAAAAGACTGGGGATTTGGAGTGGTGCATTGGGTTACAGTAACATACCAGATAACACAATTTACATTTAGAGTTACCTGTAAATTCACAGTAAACAACTGTAAATATATAGAAAAAAATGCTTACAGGTTATTACTGTAAAATATGGTTCCCACATTGTTAACACCCACAGAAAAACAGGGTTCCCCACCTCTGAACTCCCAGGTTAATCTCTGTGTTAAAGAATTACATTCATTCACTTTAGCATTGTGAACTATTCTGCCTACTATCATTACTTGGTTTGACAACAGAATTTTTCACAGTCTCTACCTGCTCTCTCTACTCCTTACTACAGTCCATCTGCCTGCCCTGTACTACCCACATCAACTTGGCCTCACCATTTCCCCTTTAGGTAAAACCACAACATCATCTATGAACCATTCAGTTATTATATTAGTGCGAGTGTATATTATAAGATGAGCCCTCAAAGTGCAACAATTCAAGAATAATGTTTCTCAACATAAAATAGTGAAGGATTTGGGGATTTTATCATCTACGGTACATAATATCATTAAAAGATTCCTAGAATTCAAACATATATAACATATCTGATTCTGTAGTGTTAATCACTGCGTGGGCTCAGGAACACTTACAAAAACCAATGTCTGTGAACACAGTTCATCACTGCATCCACAAATGCAAGTAAAAACTCTACCATGCAAAGAAGAAACCACACATAAACAGGATCCAGAAATGCTGCCACTTTCTCTGGGCCTGAGCACATTTAAGATGGACTGAGGCAAAGTGGAAAAATGTCCTGTGGTCTGATGAATCACAAGTTGAGATTCTTTTTGGAAATCATGGATTCCACATCCTCCAGGATAAAGAGGAGAGGGACCATCTGGCTTGTTATCAGAGCACAGTTCAAAAGCCAGCATCCATGATGTTATGAGGCTGCATTAGTGCACATGGCATGAGTGACTTGGGAAATGACAGGTTAGGCCTTGCTTATTTCAGCAAGACAATGCCAAACTACAAGCTATGCACATATTACGACAGCACGGCTCTGTAGTAAAAGAGTCCAGGTGCTAAACTGGCCTGCCTGCAGTCCAGATCTGCCACCTTTTGAAAACATTTGGTGCATTATGAAACAGAAAATATGGCAAATGAGCCCCTGAACTGTTGAGCAGCTGAAATCCTATATCAAGCAAGAATGGAAAACTTTTCACCCTTAAAACTACAGCAATTGGTCTCCTCAGTTCCCAAACACTTACAGAGTGTTAAAAGAGGAGGTGATGCAACACAGTGGTGAACATGCCCCTGTTGAAATGTGTTGCTGGCATCAAATACAAAATGGGCATATATTTTTCAAAAACTAATACATTTTTCAATTTCAACATTTAATATGTTGCATTTTGCATTTTGTACAGCATCTCAGCTTTTTTTGAAAACGGGGTTGTAGTTCAGTCCTGAATGAGGTGTGAAACCATCTTCAGAAGTTCTCCAATGAATATTAACAAAAACAGAGCAAATATTACAAACTCACACTGGTGGATGATTCTTGAGTCTCCTTAACATCCAAATCAGCAGACTTAATGTATTAATTTACACATATTACCATTTTGCATTTATAATCTGGAAGCTTTTGATGTGATGGTTTATGAAAAAAAGTTAACTTTACCACCCATGAGACTTCGCTTTTTTAGTTCATGTTTCGGGACTGTTGCTTAACACTAGCTCACTTCAGCATTAAAATCTGACCAGTTAACATTAGCAAAGGTTTAATTTATATCCAGTCAACTATGGAAAGCAGAGAACAGACACTGAATAAAACAGCTTACTGTCTGATAATGTGGAAAACCAAGTTAAATGCTTGATACAAATATCTTCAGAATAGTTCTGTAGATTTTAGCATTGCCAATATAAATACACTTTTACCTAAAACTTCTATAGATTGTATGCAGTATGAATGTAAACCTGCAATCCTGCAAGTTGAACAGCCGTCCATTTCTTATCCTGAAAAGGATGATTTGACCTTTTGGATCAAGATGGCAAGAAGAAAAGGTCTAAGGCTATTGGAAGAGGGTTCCTTACTGGGTGGATGACAGGAGGGTCAGTCACAGAGACTGCTCAACTGGCTACTGTTTCAATAGGAACAGTGACTAAAGTGACCTCTGCATTTATAGATTATGATATGATTAGTGTAATATATAAGAGCAACTCTTCTTCATGTGACTAAGAATGTCAATGCAGGATGCCATCAGACTGTGATCAGACTGTGTCGCCAAGAACAGTCCAATCACAACTGCTTAAAAAGGAATATTACTGTAGTGCAATGCAGTCACCCCTCATTACAAACATGAGAACTTCTGAGAAAAGTAAGAACATGTTAGAGTTCAGTGGTGCAAAACTACCGGTCTGCAGAGATGTGGAAAAAGGTGATATGGTGAGATGAGTCATCAATCACCACATCCTGCACAAGAGGGTGTTAGAATGTGTAGGGTACATCAAAAGAGTGAGGCCTGAACACCTGACCTCTACATTGAGGGTCCGGTGATGCTGTTATGCTGTGGGGGAAATTTTGCTGGCAGGGTTATCAAAAGGTATTCTAACTTATCACTCTCATCCATTGATGAAACATATCTATTCTGATGGAAATGGCATCTTTCTGGACGATAATGCCCCCATCCACAGAGCATGAGGGGTCGCTGATCGCTTTGATGAGTATGAAAATGATGTAAAATGATGCTCTGGCCTTCTCATTCACCAGATCTCAACCCAGTTGAACACCTATGAGAGATGTTCAACAGTGCTCTCCACCACCATCATTGAAATGAGGGAATACACTATATTGCCAGAAGTATTCGCTCATCTGCCTTCACACACATATGAACTTGAGTGACATCCCATTCTTAATCCATAGGGTTTCATATGATTTTGGCTCATCCTTTGCACCTGTAACAGCTTCATCTCTTCTGGGAAGGTTTTCCACAAGGGTTAGGAGTGTGTTTATGGTAATTTGTGACCATTCCTCCAGAAGTGCATTTGTGAGGTCATACACTGATATTGGACGAAAAGGCCTGGCTCACAGTCTCCGCTCTAATTCATCCCAAAGATGTTTTATTGAGTTGAGGTCAGGACTTTGTGCAGGCCAGTCAAGTTCTTCCACACCAAACTCGCTCATCCATGTCTTTATGGACCTTGCTTTGTGCACTGGTGCGCAGTCATGTTGGAACAGGAAGGGGCCGTCCCCAAACTGTTCCCACAAAGTTGAGAGCATGAAATTGTACAAAATCTCTTGGTCTGCTGAAGCATTAAGAGTTCCTTTCACTGGAACTGAGGGGCCGAGCACAACTCCTCAAAAAACAACCCCACCCCATAATCCCCCCTCCACCAAACTTTACACTTGGCACAATGCAGTCAGACAAGTACCGTTCTCCTGGCAACCGCCAAACCCAGACTTGTCCATTGGATTGCCAGACAGATTAAGTGTGATTGGTCACTCCAGAGAACAAGTCTCCACTGCTCTAGAGTCCAGTGGCGGCGCTTTACACCACTGCATTCGGTGCTTTGCATTGTGCTTGGTGATGTAAGGCTTGGATGCAGCTGCTCGTCCTTGGAAACCCATTCCATGAAGCTCTCTACGCTGTTCTTGAGCTAATCTGAAGGCCATATGAAGTTTGGGGGTCTGTAGCAACTGACTCTGCAGAAAGTTGGCGACCTCTGCGCACTATGCGCCTCAGCATCCGCTGACCGTGCTCTGTCATTTTATGTGGCCGACCACTTCGTGGCTGAGTTGCTGTCGTTCCCAATCGCTTCCACTTTGTTATAATATCACTGACAGTTGACTGTGGAATATTTAGCAGCGAGGAAATTTCACGACTGGACTTGTTGCACAGGTGGCATCCTATCATGGTACCATGCTGGAATTCACTGAGCTCCTGAGAGCGACCCATTCTTTCACTAATGTTTGTAGATCCAGTCTGCAGGCCTAGGTGCTTGGTTTTATACACCTGTGGCCATGGAAGTGATTGGAACACCTGAAGTCAATGATTTGGATAGGTGAGTGAATACTTTTGGCAATATAGTGTAAGAAATAGAATGTTCTAACATGGTTGAGTCAGTCATCTGACCCCAGCTTAGCATGCTTTTCAGGTAGTGAAGACTGAAAGTAGAAAGACCCTCAAACAAGCACCAACTGAAGGTGGCTTCAGTAAAGGCCTGGCAAAGCATCTCAGGAGAGGAAACTCAGCACTTGGCGATGTCCATATGTTCCAGACTTCAGGCAGTCATTGACTGCAAGAGTTGCATCCAACTATCATCTTACTACATGTGATTATGTTGGTTTGTCTGATTACTTTTGAGTCTGTGAAAATGGTGGGACTGTGAAATAAATGGCTGTAATTCCTAAACAGTTAATGCAATATTACAGTCCCATCTTGACTGCTTCACAGCTTAGTCAGGGCTGAATGTGGCCAGTGTGAAGAGGCCTCTGTTACTTCTTCATCTGTAATTCTCTCTTCTTCCTTCCTTTTCTTTCATGCACACCTTCTCTCTTTTTTTTTCACCTGCAGGGTGCAGGGCCTATAAAAGTCAGTGCAGAGTCACTGAGCTGTTACTGAGTCTGAAACATTCAACAGGACTCTTCTTGGATGCGACGCTTAGCCAACAATACTGCACAGTATTCCAGCACGAGACTCCCTCACAGCTGCAAACTTCTCACCAGGTAAACTTCATTTGTTAGATTTGTGGAAGTAAGACTAGAGAGAAAAACAGAGAAAAGAACTCACAGAACTTACAGAACTAACTACAGAACTGCAGTGATGCCTATGAGTATAGAGAGGTGTTAGAGATGTCGGGACAGTTGGGGTGGGGATAGAATTTGTGGGAAGGTTTTTTAAGTTGGCTGTATTTGTTTTTTCAAACTTTTCCTTCTTAAAAATAACAAATGGTTTAAATTTGTTCTTTTTTCTCATGATAACAGGCGGAGCACTGCCCATAAAGGACAAAACACTCCTGCTTGAGTGTGTGAAACTGAGTACAGGTAAGTACATTGTTTAACAACCTACAGTTATCACATTACTAAAGCTCTTTTAGGTATTACTCAGCCTACACAGTGTCCAGTATCTCTGCCTCACTGAAAATCTTTTACAATTAACTCAAAAACCGAACAAAAAATTAAACAAAACAGCATATTTATTCATGTATTATAGAACATATTATAATTTTTCTCTTTATACATACTTGTCACTCTCTCTCTCGCCTCTCTCTCTCTTTCAGGATGAGGCTTTCTGTTCTTCTGACGTTCCTCTTGGCTCTGGCTCGCAGCTCTGGCTCTGGTTCACGCTGTAAGGAAAACTGGACAAACCAAAAAGGCTACAGTGAATTCTCAGAAAAGCACATTCTGTCAAGGGATATTAAAGGAAACCTGAAAGTAAAAGAACTAAATAACATATTTGAAAAATACCTACAAAAACAAGATCTCTGTGGAAGAGTAGATCTGCAGACCTTCTTTAGACGGACTGACAGAAAGAGAGTTGAAAGCATCTGTAATGGTCAAGGCTTTGCAGAAGGTTTTGGAAATCTGTGCATCAGTGAGCAGAAGTTCACTGTTTACATGGTGGAAAGCAGGAAAGTGAAAAGTGGTTGTAAAATAAATAGAATTAATGTTGAGACCCTGTATGTGGTTGTTGGCTGCGGAAAGGTTAAAAACAAATGTCTGCCTGTTCACTTTCATAATCAGACCTATGTGGCACCAAAATCAAATGCTGCTCGCTGTAAACCGAAGCAGCTCATTCATCCTGCACCTAAACACAAAACCTTCTTTTGGTTCTATTTCTCTTCTTTCATGCTTCCCACTGCTGGATAAAAGTCTCTGCTACAAGAATCTATGCTAATTATATTTCAAGAAGAGCATAGAACATTTAAAGACTAAGCATTTGCATATTTTCCTGCCGTTATTGTGATAATTTTATAAAGTTCCTCTTAATAAATTGTGACCATGTTTGAAGATCTTCACTGAAAAATCTGAATTGTGAATTTGAAAGCGTGTGTGAACATTCTGTACACAAGAAACTGAAAGATTTTGCTGGATTTATTTCACTGTGAGCTTTTTGCTTAAAGCTATAGCATTAAAAATTTTAATCATCTACATGATTAATGCAAAACGTGGTCTGTGTCATTTCTTTAGTTAGTAATCATCACATGAGTTTTAGAAAAACAGGCTGATGCCTTCAAGTTGTTTCTACACTCATTGTCCATTTTATCAGCTCCACTTATCATATAGGAGCACTTTGTAGTTCTACAATTACAGACTGTAGTCCATCTGTTTCTCTGCATACTTTGTTAGCCTCTTTTCACCCTGTTCTTCAGTGGGCAGGTCCCCCACAGGACCACCACAGAGCAGGTATTATTTGGGTGGTGGTTCATTCTCAGCACTGCAGTGACACATCAGTGTCACTAATAGCTAACTGCCGATATCCTGAAACACTGCTAGTTTCGCAGAGCTGACATTAGCAAATCTTACTAATGGTGCTTAAATAACATGGTAATTGAGATTAGTGTTTATTGCTAATGCCTGTAGCAACTCAGTACTCTTCATTTCTCAGAATTAACATTCACAGGAATTTTCAATCACAATCTGTTTGTTTTTCCCTGAAATCATATGAGCATGTCTGTGACTGAGCTGGTTGAAGACTCAAACACGGTGCTATCCAGTGGTGGTATCCATAGAAACAGACAAAAATCAACTAGTCAGAATGGTTTATTAATCATCATACAAACGTGACCAATCAGACTGTGTTGCTGTTTGTTTCTAAAGATGTGTTTTACTTCTTCTTGGCTTTAGAGGTGACTTGGAACACAGCAGAATAAGTGGGTACACACCAACCAAGAGGGCACTGGTACAGTCTGAGGGCAAAGGGGAAGGGGCTCAACTGGATATGTCTTGATAATATGTATCTGTGAAATCAAAGAGTTCAGCCTGACTGGTGACTGCAGCCGTTAGTCACTTTTCCATGTTTATACACTATTACTGAAGGTCTGCTTTCACATTCATCTAATTGGTCAGCACAAAAAAAAAAACAAAACACTTATGGGGGAGACCACTTAACCACTTCGAGATAAACCAAAATGAAAGAAAAGCACCTTACGTGCCAAAACAAATCAAACCGTGTCTCTCCCACTGAAAACAATAATCCCACTGGATCTCACTGAAACAGTGTGGTCTGTTATGCACTGTCAATTATATCATAGCATATTTCTGCTGGATAGATACCATTAATGACAGCATGTGGCCTATCTAATGATTATAATCTGTTACAGAATGCACATTAGTCTGTGAAGCTGAAGTGGGATAGATTTGATGCTGTGGTTTAGAAACGTACTCTTGTTGTGTTTTCATGCACTGCTCAGACTAGTTTTTGTATCACCTTGAGAAACTGAATATAAAGAATACCTTATTAAGATTGAGAATACTAATCTGTCTCAGCCTCATTTGCATTGACTTTACTTTTTAGACTTTCATTTGGTTTTCCAAAAATATTTCCTGTTTTCTTGCACTGACAGGGGTTACAGTAACCCACACTGTAGCCATACTTCCTGCAGTGATACACACAGGTAGCAAATCTGATGATGTCAGTTCAGTATTACTGCACTACACGTTCATATTGAATATTTTCTATTTCCTGGACAGGTCAGCACTGAAGCTACTCTCCTTTCTCTCAAACTTCTGACTTTACAATTTCTGCCCTCAAATTAATTAAGCTTCAGTATTTATTTATTTATTTTTTTTTGGATGCTGATACCATTTCTAAGTTTGTGATAGTTAGAGACCACCATTACATAAAGAAATCTATTCTGCGATAATTCCTTAATATATTGTATAAGTTCTTCATAATTAAGCTTTTTTAATACTGCACTGTATTAAACACCCATGAAAAAGGGTGTTAAACCAATTTACTGAGGCAATGGAGTGTGAATTTGTCACGTTGGGGATGAGGTGACCCAGAGCCAGGCTCGTACCGCTGATGTACGGTCTGTGGCATTACTGCTGCGCCACCGAGAAGCGCAAGTTAGTGGGTAAAACACCTCAAGGAACGGGAATAAAAAGGCTGGAAAAACAGCAAACAAAGGACACTGCTGAAAGCAGCGTGCTCAAACAAAGGCTGAACTAGAAACGTGAAATAAAAGATAATGAGAAAACAAAAGACTCTTCCACTGTAAGAATGAAGGGAAGGCAGACTTAATGCTTCACTTGTTTGCTCTTAGAGCAAACACCTTTTGTACGGCTTGGAGCCGTTTGTTGCTCAAGCCTTCTTTTCTTTTCTTTTTGTTAAATACCCACCTGGCCTGCATACCATACCAGTCACCCCTCTACAAAGGTTTGACAAAGAGCTGCTGTTTGCCCACAGCCTTAAGTGGAGGAGTCCACAGGTGTGTCAGGTTGGGCCTAATCAGCCTGAGGGCTTCTGGGAATTGGAGTTCCCTGAAGCTATGGCACTTCACTGCTGCCCTCTGCTGGACCCTTACACTGTTAAAGTGTAATACAATAACAATAGCCCAGTGCATTGTGGATGTAGATAAGTTTGTAGTCTAATTAAAAAGAATGGAAAAGATAGATGGAAAAAAAAGATTTTCTTAAAGATGAACCTAATTCAGTTGTGAACATTTATGCTATTTTTGTTTCTTCCTTTTTTAACATCAAATCTTAAGTTGTGCACAATTAAAAGACTGAAAAAATATTTAGACTTTGACACCATTTTAAGAAAAACAGCCCCAGACTTTTCCACCTCTGCGCTTTACAGAACTCTTTGTGCTGTCTGGTTGGAATTCTTCTCCAGGCTTTCTTCACACAAAGTCTACCATCAGTTTGATGTTGTGCTAAAAGTGTTTTTCCTCTGAAATAAAAATAATTTCGTTAAACAAAACAGAAAAATATTTTAGTAAAATTTATCAATGGCAAAGTTGTTAAAGTGTTTAAATGCTATTTAATGCCACTGTGTGTAGCTGTGTGCAGCACTGGTGTTTGAGACGCTTAACAAGGTGATTTCTGGAACTGTGAAAAATGTATTTAACATGCAGCCAGTTCAAAAAGCAAAAACTACATAATTGTATGTGGCACACATAAAAAATAAATACATGTAATTAAATAAGTTTTCACATTTCTGCTAAAATGGCTGTGGTTCAGTGAGCGAGGACAGCAATAAAGGAAATTAATATAGGAACGGAGGAATGGTGGGAGCGCTGGCGAGAATGACGTGACTGACAGGAGGTAGAGGTCATGGCAAATTTATTTCAGACACTAAAATCAACAGAAATGCTTGCAAACATAGACAAAGACCTTCACAAGCAACAGTACCAAAAACACAGACAGGTAAAGAATTAGAGTGAGAACTAATCTTACCAGCACTCTTAAAAAGGATGGTGCTTCAACGATTCTTTAGCAAAGAAACTGGTTCTATATAGAACCATGAGCACTCAAAGAACCATTTGCTTGATATTGTAGCGGTGTGAAGCTTGTGACAATAGAAGAACCCTTTTGGGTGCTAGGTAGAACCCTTTTCAAAAAGGTTCTATATAGAACCGTCTATAGCACATTCATGCACATTTTCCATCAATCCAAAGAACCCTTTAATCATGCAAATGGTTCTTTGAGTGCTCATGGTTCTGCATAGAATCATTTTCTTTTTAAACTAACCCTTGAAGCACCATAGGTGAGAAAACTTGGATGGTACCCAGAACAAAAGCTGGTCTGTACTGCTCTGGTGTTGGTTTGATTCTGGTTTAGCTGGTCACTCAGCACCCAGCATAGTCATACTAAATGACCAGCATACCAGCATCCATAACATACAGTGGTTTTACTGGTGATCATTATAACACACAAGAGCTGTGTTAGCTTTTGAAGTGGATGTTCCACCTCTTCATGCCGCAACTCTGCGCTGCCATTGGCTGCTTGGCCTATAGAGAGAGACAGTGAGGGAGGAGGAGAGAGCGAACAAGCAGAGGAGGGAAAAGAGAGAAAACAAAATGGCGTCCAGACACGTAACAACCAGACTGTTTATTTCTTTGGCACAGAGTTATCTATTGATGTTCCACTAACTTACAGAAAATATTGGTCTGTACTATTAATTATTTTGTAAACTGTACAAATATTGTCTGGTACCGTTTCTGAGGGGTACATGAGCATTTCTTCAGCATGGGGTACAGATTTATAATCCTCATTCTCGTCCTGGGTTTTGATATTTCACAGTGATGATATTATTCACATTCTATTTTGTCATCAATGACGTGAACATTAGGCTTCATTTTATGAATTGTGGTTCCTCATGATATGTATCAATTTGTAAGGTCTTCTATTAACACATGGTATTATTTTCACTGCCCATGTTGTGGACAGTTTCTGATAAATCTGTGATCATCCATCTACAATTACACTGTTCTGGGGGAAAATGTGAAACTTTAGATATTGCCATTCAAAGTAATATAATGTAAAATGATTTGAATGTGTTGCTCATGTCACTAATTCAGAGTACAAATCTATGGAAGTTAAGGATTCGTCTGTCTTTGAATTCATACATGGTGCATATTAATTGATGGATGTTCTCAGAGCATCAGCACATTCATTAGGATTAGAAAGTGCAAATGGTTAAAGTGAAAATCTGCAGGCTTTATTTTCAGGCTGCAAAGTTATTGAAATCAAGAAAATAAACAATAAAATGTATATTTTTATATTAGACATCAGGTTTTTTATTAAACTTGGAAGCAGCCGTCTATGTGGCACATTTAGGAATAGTTTTGAGAAAAAAATTACAGATGCTGTCAGGAACTGAATACAGTATGATGTACCACACCAAAATTATGTAGGAGCAATTTGGGAATGATACACATTTTTACACATATTTTCTTTGTTTTCATTGTTGTGTTTCACAATGTCATAATATTTTTATCATGATAGCAATATTTAATATTTTAATCACTGCTTTAATGTCTTGAATCCCAGTCTTAGTTATTCAAGTATAAATCTTAAGATTTATTCTTAACTAATATGAGCTGATAGTGGGGAACTGCAGTGTGGACACACTTCTTCATAACTGCTTTATTTAAAAATACATAGCCAAAAATGGCTTTTCTGTGTTTGAAATGTGCTTTTG